GAGAAAGGAGGGAGGGAGGAAGGAAGGGAAGGAAGGAGGAAGGGAAGGAAGGAAGGAAGGGAGGGAGGGCGTGTAGATAGGTGTAAAGGCCATGGGTTCAATTCGAAGAAGAAGAGGAGGAGGAGGAGGAGGAGGAGGAGGAAGAAGAAGGAGGAGGTGGTGAAGGTGAAAAGGAAAAATTGAAAAGCTCAAGAGCCCTTTTAACAATACATCTTGGTCCAGGTGCAGCCACCCAAGCATGTACATATGAGAAAAAAAAAATCATGGAACAGTAGCTTAAGATTTGTACATTTGTGGGCCGGAGATTTAGCTCAGTGGTTTCACCGCCTGCTGCGCAAGCGCAAGGATCCGAGTTCGATCCCCGGTTCCAAAAAAAAAAACATTTGTACATTTGTAATATATGTAAATTATACCCATTAAAACAGAAAAAGTGATGCGATTCCCATCACTTGGGCCCGGTAGCACTCCTGTGCTGGACCTGGAGGGGCCCTTGGGTCTCGGCAGGCAGGACAGAGTCTCGGGACAGGTGCAGGGATCTCTGGACTCTTCCCAGAGATAGCTGTATGCATGCAGCAGCCCAGCAGGTGAGAGGTGGACATGGGCCAGCGGGCAGTCACACTGTCTTCATGCCATTCCTGTCTCCCCAGCAAGGCCCTGAGCTGACAGGGTAACAAAATACCCACACAAGAAACAACCAGAGAGCAAGCAGGGCAAGGCTGCCTGGTCTCAGGGACAAAGCTCTTATCCCTGCTGAGGAGAGCGTGTCTTCCCTGCTTCTTGGCCTGCAGGACTGGCAGCAGCTAAGTACTTGCAGTGACAGAATAGTCACAGGCTAGGTAGGGAGGACCTGTTTGCATCCACGAAGATAGCTGGCGGAGAAGATGTGTACCACCGTGACATGTCCATCTCACTCTCCAAATGTGAGTCTGACTCTCTGCCATGCAGGACACACCTAGAATCTGACACATTGTTTCCCAGATGCCTGACAGCCATCTGAGGACACATCCAGACTTAGGCAGCCCATGTGTGCACGTGATGCAAGACACTTCCCATCCCGAACCCTCAGAAATGGTGGGTGGTTGGTAGTTTTCATAGCGTGCCCCTTATAAAAGTGGTCTCTCGTTGTGCTCATGAGGCTGGCTGGAGGACCAGGGCCTGAAGATGACCAGCATATGTGGGTGTCCAGGTTCCCAGGTATTCATGGGACCACTCATGTTCTTCTCCGCAGGAGGCAGTGTCACACTGCCCAGAAGAAAGCCAACTGGCCCGAATCCAAAATGTTATCCAGGAGCTTCCCCCATCCCACTATAGGTAAGATTCCTTGGGAAAAGAAACGTGCAGCCCCTTAGTGTGGCATAGCTTCAAGGGGGCAGGGTGTGTGCTAAAATAGAGCAGTTTCAGTGGGTGGTAGCTTTCCTGGGGGCATTTTGAAATTGGTGAATGGGTCACTCCTTTTAAAGGGAGTTGGTACCTCACAAGGGACAGTGGCAGCAAAGCGCAGCCTGTCTCCAGTCACTTCCAGGGCACTCATCAGAATGGCACAGGAAGTCAGTCCAGTCACACAAGCCAGCCTCACGGTGGCATTCTTGCTTGTTACCCAGATCTGTAGCCTGGGGGTGACTGTGGCCCTTCAGAATTGGCGGACTGATCTCTGCTTGCTCATCAGTGTCCCCTCCTCATCACCTACATCCTTTCGTTTCATCCTCACAGCTTAGCCCCTAAGTGAGCCGCCATCTCCAACATCCCTTGTCCCTGCCCATCTTCTGCAAGGAGCAGATTCTGATGCGGTGTAAGAAAGAACTCTCTAGCAGTCACAAATGTTGTTTATCCATGAAATGAACTTCCTTACAAGTTCCAAGCTGCCTGTAGCTAGAACATTGTTTTTTTCAAAAAGCCTAAATAAATCCCAATTCAAACAGAGAAGGCACTTCCTCCTGAGAAGGAGGAGCAAGGGGCCACTAAGCACCCTGAGGCCCTGAGCTCTGTGGTTTCCTGGCTCTATCCCTGGCTGGTGTTCTCTGGGCCTCAGCTAACTTCTGACAAGACTGACACTCATTCCCACCCTGGGCCGGTGTGCCCATGGCCAAGAAAATGACTTCTACCAATCGTAGTATCTTTTCAATATTCCTTCAAAATTCCAACTCTTAAATTCAAACTTAGAAATGACCTCCAGTTGTCAGGCTTCCCACAGGCACTAAAGTTCCTTATTTTCTCAAAACAAACAAACAAAATGAATCATTACAGGACCTTGGAATACTTGATCCGACACCTGGCTCATATCGCCTCCTTCAGCAGCAAGACCAACATGCACGCCAGGAACCTGGCCCTGGTGTGGGCTCCAAACCTCCTCAGGTAACTACCACACCCTCACCTGATCACCACCACCGTGGGCTCGAGCAGCCTAATGGAAAGGATGCTGGGATCCTCCAGACTCCCTAGAACACAAACCTGTCACTAAGTGACCTTTACTAGGACATGTGAATTAAAGGTAGTTTTAAGAGCCTAAGCTCTTTCTTTGCTTGCTAACTCAGAAACTCTGGGTTCCAAAGCCATTTCTTGGCTATAATCACAATGTGGCTAGCATTATACGTCTGTATGTTACAGTTTCATAAAAAGGCCTTTCTTGTGGTTAGGGCTCATTAGCTTTTCTTGTCTTTAGTGGAGTCACAGCTGGCTTAAGTTGCATCAGCTGCCTGAAATGATGATCTGTCCCACAGTTGGACAGAGCAGGAAGGGGATCCTTCAAAGAAAAAAGTCAGTTCCTGTACATTAATGGGATGGTTTTTATAGTCTCAGAATTATAGTATCTGGTAACTTTGACATTTTTTCAGTGGGCTGGGCTCACGGCCTTTGGAGAGATCCCTTAATTGGTCTTAACCAGTTAAACTATTCTACAGATTAACCAACTATAAATTTAGGAAAGGGGGCCTATGGACTCCTGCACTTCTCCAGGCTGCGAGGCAAACTCACCCAGAGAGGATGTTTCTTCCTTGGTTCAGGTCCAGAGACATCGAAGCGGCTGGCTGCAATGGAGACGCAGCGTTCCTCGCTGTGCGAGTGCAGCAGGTGGTGATTGAGTTCATACTAAGTCATGTGGATCAGATCTTCAACCACAGCATGCCCAGGGCTCTGGAGAACAATGGTGGTGAGTGCTCCCACCTTATACCCCACCAGTCTGTCCTTTCTTGCAAGTCATGAGGCCCAGACTGAGCGAGGTGGGGTTGGTTCTGGCTCTGAAGTATGTGCTGGCTGCGTGTGTGCACTATGTGTTAGTGTCTGGGGATCATGTGTTTATGCATCTGCATGTGTGCAGCAAAGGTATAGTGTGCTTTCAGGTGGCTAGAGTATGTTTCAGATCAGTTGCATCCATATGTGATGTGATGGGGAGAACTGAAGGAATTTTACTGAGTTCTGAAGCTTCTTTTAGTTATTATCTAAAGAGACTAGCAACATTCTTCTTAACGATTAGGTTTTACCTTTACTTTCACTGTAATATTTCAGAAGATTCTTAGGCCTTCACCTAAAAGTCTTTGTTTGTTTGTTTGGAGACAGGATCTTGGTGTGTAATTCAGGCTGGTCTTGAATTCACTATGTAACCGAGGCTGTCTTTGAACTCACAGTGATCCTCCTGCCTCAGCCTCCCTAGTGCTGGGATTACAGTCGTGCTCCACCATGCCCAGCTTTCACTTGGAAGTCTTAAGGGATTTTGTCCTCACATGTATATTCAGAATGCATTTTTCTGGCAAGTATTTCCCCTGGAGTATGAGAACCATATCTGCAAAATATTTGTTACACGATTGAAGTGTTCTTTTTCAGTTAGCTAATATAATTGGGGAAACCAATCTAATTGTCAGAATAATTTATTGCAATTACCATCAAATTTAGATGGCTTAACAGAGAGTATGGGCACTAATTCTAGGTTTTCGTGGCTCTAAGTCCCTACATTATTATGTGTATGGTATTTACTGAACCATCAATAAATTTTAGTTCTTTGTCTGATCCCCTTCCTCCTCAGTCTTTAATGCTAACTTAATGGCTCTCAGGGCTGCTGACAGAATGTAATCTGCATAGCATAACCAAGAGAAATTAGGAGGTTCTCACAAGGTTATAAACACAACTCTAACAGGGACATCTAGAACACTAAAAGGTATTTTATGTACATGTTCCAGTTTTTTGGGTGTTCACTCAAACCTTTATTTGATAAATGAGAGCACTGAGGCCAGAGAGATTGTGAAGTCTCCAAGATTCATTAAAAAATTAAGTAGGTATTGAGTATCTCGTATATACCAGACGTTGTCCCAGACTCTAAGGACACATCACTTCACAAAATGGCAAAGACCGTAGCTCACAAAAAGATATGGTCTGGTTGGGTAGACAAGCAATATATTTTACCAATAAATATATTATCACTTCAAAGACCATAAATACCAGGAAGGAAATAATCCAGTGGTCAGTGACTTGGAGGTGTTACTTTGGGACATAATGGTCATGGTTTCAGAAGAAACATTCCTTAAATGGAGACCCAAATGACACAGGGAACCAATCATGTGAGAATCTGGGGGACAAATATCCCAAACAAAGAGAATTAAAGTTTTAAGGTAGAAACAGGCTTGAAATGTTACAGAAAGTGAGCTAATGTGGCTCCAGCCACTGTGGTCTCCAAAGTGGAGTGCCCCACCCTACTGAGTACCAAAGAGCAAAGTACTAAAGTATTGGGAAGAGTTAGGAGAAACTATTAGGATTTTTTTTTTCATTTATTTTTCTCTTGCATTGTTTTATTCAGCTTTTCATTGCTGAGACACAATACCCAGCACCCATAACTTAAAGGAGAAGAGATTAAATTTGGCTCATGGTTTCAGGGGATTCAGTCTATGGTTGGCTGGCTCCAAGGCAGGAACATCATGGCAGAGGGAAGTGGAAGAGCACAGCTGCTCAGTTCTTGGTGGCCAGGAAGCAGAGCAGGGGAGTAGTGCAGGAGAGGAAGGAGCAATGGGCCATCTATGGTACCCAAGTCACACCTGCATGACCCACCCAGACTCACCCAGAAGCGTGCTTTCTTTTTTTTTCCTCTCTCCCTAAAAACACATTTATTATTAAACAAATTATCTAGTGAACAACAAAATGAGCCTATAATTTATTAAGTTCAAGATATATAGTCAACTTGCATAAAATTACATATGGTATTTTAAAAACAGTCTATTTCTAAAATATCAGTAATTCAGGCAATTGGGATTTCCACAGGAAATAAACAGCCATTCACTTACTTTTTACAAAGAAAGTCTGCATTAAGAACATTACAACTATGTCATTAAGAAATGTGATAGCATACTTTAAAAGGTCCAATGGTGAAACATGTCCTTCAGTTTATTCTTTTATTGGTACTGGCCCTGAAGTAGCACTTCAGAAGGTGACTTAAATCTAATAATTGCATTTCCAAATGGCTTTGGCTTCTAGTCTCTTCTAGAAGTGCATATGACACATATAGTTTAGTTCAGAATTGTTAATTACCATTATAAATGGGACCTTATACTGAAAAGATATAAGAAATAAAGTACTTGGATTGCTACTACTTTATTCAAAACCTATCTATGAACACCACAAAACCAACTTTTACACATAAGCAAAATATTAAGAATTTCTGATTTGGGAGAAATGAAATAAAATACAGTGAGTGGTTTTTCTCTTCATCTCTATCTATAAAAATTGCTTTTGCCTATTTATTTGGCCCATCTCTATTCATGCAATTTAATGAACCCTCAAAAGAATTTACACATCTTTATACAGAATTTTCATCTACATCAGTAAACTGTCAGTCCTTTTATATTTTCAGTGCCTTATCAAAATATGGGTAACAAAGTTCTTCATTCTATGGGGTAGGAAGATATTTCCTAAGAACTTCTTTGGACGATGAAGATATAGTATCTGGGAAGCACACATCAAATTCTATTAGAAGGTCACCATGCTGGTCAGGATTCTTTGGAAATGGCAGCCCATATCCAATGATTCTTCTCATTCCAGGTTTCACAATATCATTTATCGACATAGGTATGATTCTTCCATCCATTGTTGGCACATTAATTGAGCAGCCACACAATGCCTCCCGTAAACTAATTTTAGCTGTATAAATTATATTTGATCCATCTCATTTGAACTTTGGGTGATCTTTGTCTTTAATAATGAAAACAATGTCTGCTGGAATACTATTTGGTGTTTCATCTCCTTCCCTTGGAAAAGTAATTTTGGTGCCTTCTTTCCACCCTTTTTTGATCTCAATGGTGAGAATTTTGTCCTCAGATCTGTAACTCCTTCCATCAGGATTTAATCTTTTTTGAGAAATTTTCATTCGTTTGGTGCAACTGCTGTATATTTCCTCCAGTGAGACTCGAAGTTGGTGAATAACGGGGGGGGTCTTGTTTAAGACGGTTCAGCCCCACAGAATTCCAGTCTCTCGAATACCCATTCATGCTGAATCCAAAGGCACTGAAGAGATCACCATCTATTTCCATCTCTTCAGAATCTCTGCCACCACCCATCTGTCTTCCAAAGAAAATTTCAAAGGGGTTGGAACCTCCAAAAAATGCTGCAAATGTGGCATGAGGATCACCATGAAAAGTGTACCGGAAGGTACCTCCTTGTCCATCAGTACCTCCTGCTCCTCCTTTCAACCCTTCTTCCCCAAACTGATCATATATTTCTCTCTTTTGGGGATCACTTAATACTTCATAAGCTTCTGTGACCTCTTTAAATCTTTCCTCTGCCTGAGGAGATTTGTTCTTGTCTGGGTGAAATCTGAGGGCTTGTTTTCGGTAAGCCTTTTTAATATCTTCATTGGAGGCTCCTTTCTCAATTCCCAAAATGCCATAATAGTCTTTCCCCATTTTGAATGCCTTGAAACGAACTTAAGTTGCTCTCCCTTTGTAAAAGAAAACAGCGGCCCTAGTCTTAGCAATACAATGACTCTAGAAGCATGCTTTCTAATACCCTGGGCATTTCTTAATCCTGTCACATTGACTTATCATGATTGTCATGTATATTTAAATAAAAATTATTATTTTACATAAGTTTTCTATTTTACAGAATACTAATACAGCCATATATATGTATAATTTACAAAGTACATGCACAAATAAAGGGAATACACATTCAAGTTTTTACTTATAATTTTGTAGATCACTGAGTCATTAGGCAGAGAAGAGGCCAAGAAGAGGCAAGATCCTAGCAGGTCATGCCAAGGCTGCTGTGTTCTCAGGTCTTGGGCAAGCTCTGGAGGACTGTGAGGTGGTGAGTGTAGGATCTGAGCACTCTGGCTGCTCCATTCCAAGAGACTGAAAGGCAGCAAGGTTGAAAGGAGGGAGACCACATTAGGGAGCCAGGGCAGGAATCAGGTGGGAATTTGTGCTGGCCTGTACTAGGGTGTTAGCAATAGAAGGGAAGGTGGCTGGATCCAGGATATATTTTGAGGTAGAGTTGTATTAGTCAGCTTTCTCATTGCTGAGACACAATACCCAACACCCATAATTTAAAGGAGGGAGGTTTAATTTGCTCATGGTTTCAATCCATGACCGGCTGGCTCCAACAGAAAGACACCATGCCGAAAGGCAATGGGAGACCAGAGCTGCTCAGTTCATGGTGTCTGGGAAGTAGAGCAGGGGAAGAGTGCCAGAATGGAAAGGACAAGGAGCCAGACATAGACCTCAAGGCCATATCTTCAGGACCCACCCAGGCACCCCTAGAGGTGCACTTCACCAGTCCCCAGGGCAGATCCCAAGGCCAATCAACTCCACCCTAACCAGCAGGGTTACAAGGCCTGCTCAAAACAATGCTACATCTATAAAAAAAACTTCTCCCGGTTTTGGCTTATGCAGTGGGGTGGACCATGGTGCCATTCACTGACGCGGAGGTGAGAGTAGGTACCCCTCTAAAGTGAGGTGTGTAAATTACAGGCCTTGTCTTGAAATGTGAAGTCAGAGTCGCCTGAGCAGAGACTGTGGGTAGGACTCAGGTCTAGCTTCCTCTGGAGCCTGGAGCTACAGCAGATGTGAGTGCTAACCCTCAGACTCCTGACCCCACAGTTTATGTTCTTCCCCTGTCCCAGTTGCTCTCAGAGTGATTTAATGTTTTAAGGTAAATAAATAAGTAACAAAAATAGTAAGTATCTATGAACAAATATAGAAGTAAATTAAATTTACTTTATTATTTTTAATTTTTAAAAATTTTATTAGTACACGTTTGCAGTACATATGATTATATTCATCTTGTACATAACACATCTTAATGGAAGTAAATTAAATTTAAACATTTTTAATATCCTTTGAGTTAAGTTGGAAAACTGGGTTAAGTTCAGAAACTGTATTAAAATATTTTCAGGATCACAGGGTATATTTAACTATGATCCTCCAGAATGACTGTCATGCTTAGCCCTGCTAGAAACTCCTGACTGTTACATACTGTCTCCATTGTCTACATGCCCTTTTTAGTGGATTTGCTTCCTTTTATCCAGAAAGAGATGTGTTCTGCGAAAAGAAATGTTACATGGAGCTGCTTTCTAACAAGGACAGTTCCTGTACCAAAAAATGACCTTGTAATCTCAGTTGGTCCAAATTACTAAATCTCATCTCACCTTTCAAATGTCACATATAGCAGGCAAGGTCACCAGAGACTAAACAGAAGCAAACTTGGACTTTTTTTTTTTTTACTTAAATCAGAATTTCTCAACCTCAGCACTATTGATGTCTAGTGCCAGATAATTCTTGTTGTGGGGCATTGTTCTGTGAATTGTGTGATGTTTAACAGCTTTCCTGGCTTCTACTACTAGGTGCCTTCTACTCACACATATGTGACAACCAAATATGCCTCCTAGGGCCAGGGATTTAGCTGAGTGGTTCCGCCGCCTGCCTCGCAAGCGCAAGGACCCGAGTTCCATCCCTGGTACCAAAAAAAAAGTTTAATCCTATTTCCTTTGCTGGGGATTTAGCTCAGTGGTTCTGCTGCCTGCCTTGCAAGCACAAGGTCCTGAGTTCGATCCCTCGTACAAAAAACAAACAAACAAACAAAAATGCCTCCTGACATTGCCAAATGTCCTTTGCTGAAATGGGGGAAAGGGAATATGAAAAATCACCCCAAATTAAGAACCACTGATGAACTCAGTAGAGTGCCACATGCCTATAATTCCAGCACTCAGGAGGCTGAGGTAAGAGGATTGTGGGTTCAAAACCTGTATGGGCTACGCAGCAAGTTCAAGGCTAGCCTGTACTACATAGTGAGACCCTGCTCAAAAGATTCACCTCCCCCCCAAAAAAGAACAACTGATGGAGAAAGGAGAGAATGTTTTACACCATTGATGGTTATTGTCACTTTCATAGAGCAGGGCAAGGTTAGCTCCATCCACTAGAAGATGACCAGAAATAGTGTAGTGTGTCAGATGTGCTTTCCTGCAGAGATAAAAGCTTCAGTGTTCTAGGGTAAGTAGAGGCTCCAACCTTCAACTGCCTGCATTCTTCAGCAGTGGGGAGGAAGGGCCAACTCCTGCCTTACCCAGCTGAGTTAGACCACCTCTGTGGCTGGACAGACAGTCCCATCTGGCTAAAGCACTGGAAGAATTTGGGAGAGTGAAGATCTACTGCTATTATTCTGGATCATAATAAGTGTTCAGTAGGTATTTTGAAGGATGGATGGATGGATAGATGGATGAATGGATGGATGGATGGATGGATGCATGGAGCCTCACTGGAAGGCTGGAAAGTGCCAGAAGTACAGTTACCTCCTGAGGTCCCTATTTTTGGGGAGATGTGAATTTTGCACATGTGTACATGTGCATGTATGTGTGTGTGTGTGCACATGGTACTAGGATTGAACCCAGGGCCTTCACACTGAGCTATATTCTCAGCCCTTTTTTATTTTTTATTTTGAGTCAGGGTCTTGCTAAGTAAGTAAGTTGCTCTGGCTGGACTGAAACTTGAGATCTTCCTGCCGATCTACAGAGTGTTGGGATTCCAGGCCTGTGGTATCACACTCAGCAAAATTGCCAGTTTTCTGGATGCAGCCTCACCCCCAGGTGCCACGATACCCAAGAGAAACTCAAGTCAGCACCAGCCCCATCAAGAGGCCAAGCCAGAGGGGCTGTGCCTGGGGAGCTTGCTGGTCCTGGCATTGTGGCCTCCTCCTGGACTGAGCTCTTCTCTTTCCCTTACAGGAAATCAGCCCATGACGAAGAGCCTCACCCTGCCCGCCCTGTCCCTCCCCATGAAGCTGGTGAGCCTGGAGGAGGCTCAGGCCCGAAGCCTGGCTATGAACCACCCAGCTCGGAAAGAAAGGAGGGAGAACAGCTTGCCTGAGATTGTCGCCCCCATTGGTACACTCTTCCACACCGTCCTGGAGTTACCAGACAACAAGTAAATGCATTCCTGTAACTTCTGGAGGAGCAGGGTATCGTCTCAGGACCATGATGGCAATTCCAGGCTGGGGGTGTGACCTAGGTGGGGTGCCAAGGAACATCCCAAAAGACAAGGGGGCGGTCTCCACCACTCACTCTCACCAGTGGCAGTGCCTTCATTACCACCCCAGAGTTACTGAGAGCCCCGATCTACCATAGACCCCAAACCTCAGGATGGGGATGGGGTCACAGGGGTTTCATCACACCTCATGACAAAATCCTGACTTCTTAAACAAATTTCCTTACAAAAGGAAATTTACAAAAGCAAAAACTTGATCTCCTCCACTTGAAGCTCCCCCCTTTTCCCCCATTACAAAAGGCATAGAGATGAATCTGTGGCTGAGCGCAAATCGACAAATAGTGCCACCAGACTGAGCACACATGGGGACGTACCCCTGTGCCTCACCTCCTCGCAGCCTATTGGAGCCATGCCTCCCTCCAAAGCAGATCAAGCATCCTCTGCATCAGTAGGATGTGTTCTGTCCTCGTTCCTCCCTCCTACCCCCTCCATGCACCCTTTTTCTCTGACTGCCCCTCACCGCACCCCTCTCTAGAAGAGGCAGCAACTGGAGCAGGCGTCCTAATCGATGCACAGTTGTCTCCCCAGGAAGTATCAGCCTGGAAAGCTGGTCAGCAGAGAGACGCATGAAAACATGTAACTCATGTCAGTGCCCTCCCCAAGGCAGCGGGCTGTTTCCTTCTGGGGAGGCAGGATGAAGGCTGTCGCCCTACACTATCACTTCATGCTACAGGGGTGGCACACCTGAACTGCTCCAGGGGGAACTTGGAACCAAGCCCATGGCACCTCTCCCTAAACAGTGGAGAATAACATTCCTTTGAGGAGATCAGAAAGAATTCCTTGGAAGGAACATCAAGCACATTTTCTTTATGCTTTAAGCCACAGCTGAAGTACCACCATACCCCAAGCTATGCCACCCTGGAAAGCACACCCCAAGGCCATGTACTTACAAACAAACACAGGCCAAGCCCAAAGGAAACCACCAGGCACTCCGATCTATTTCAGATTGATCATAAAGACAGTTAAACCAGCCCGGAGTAGTGGTGCACGCCTCCAATCCCAGCACTCTGGGAGGCTGAGGCAGAAAAATTCACAAGTTTGAGCCCAGCCCAGGCAACTTAGCAGCTTAGTGTGAACCTATCTTAAATTAAAAAAGAAAAAAATCAAAAGGGCTGGGGATGTAGCTCAATGAGAAGGCCCTGAATTTATTCCAGTAACACACACACACACACACACACACACACACACACACACACACACACATACTCACAGGTAAGCCTAAGATCTGGATGTTCTGTGTAAGCCCTTCGGAGAAAAGACCCTTTGTGGGACTTCAGGTTGCAGAGTTCCACCCGGAACTTTCCCAAGTTTGGTGGTGGACCTGCTGGCCACAAGGCTTGCCTCTGTGGTAATCCTTGGTAGTGCCAGGTTCTCCTGACCCACCCTAGTGCTGTCCCCTCCCACTCAGGTAGCTGATGGGAGACAAAGCCGGGGCACACTGGCTGCCCTCTGCATTTCTCTCCAGTGACCACTGAGCCCACCCCAGCACACCAGGCCACTCCTGCAGGTCTTTCTCTCCCTCCTTGTCCCAGAGTGTGGCTACCATGTGGAGGACATAGCAGGACTGGGATCTATGCTCTTCAGTGTTTATTTCTCTAAAAACAAACGAACAAACAAAAAAAAACCTGGTATCTTTGAAAAGCCAGGACTGTAGCTCTTACCAGAATTCAGAACTGTGTGATTTCTTATGACCTTTGAGTCTCCCACCAAACCTACCTCTGTTTGCCCTACTCTTACCTTTAATAGACAGCTTTGGCTGGGGAAAAGGGTCTTTGCTCTGACTCAAGATACCCTTGCTTGGCCGCCTGGAGCACCCCCAGACAGGGTGAGAGTTGGGCTCCACTTGGATTGTACAGGGGAATTTCCTGAAATGTCAGGACTGCTCATTACTAAGAACATAATTCAAATCTTTTTTTTCAATTTAAAAGTTCCCTGGAAGTGACAAGTTAAATTATCCTCTTATGGTTTGGCTTTTTTAGGAGAAAGCTTTCCAGTAAATCAAAGAAGTGGAAATCTATATTTAACCTGGGCCGTTCTGGATCAGACTCCAAATCAAAGCTGAGTAGAAATGGGAGTGTGTTCGTAAGAGGACAGAGGCTCTCGGGTAAGAAGTGACAGGAACTCCATCTTCTGGTGCAAACATTTTCTTTTCTAGGTCTGTTTCTTAAGTCTTTGATTTGATTATATCAAAATCACTAGCTCTGCCAGGCATGGTGGTGCACACCTGAAATCCCAGCACTCTGGAGACTGAGGAAGGAGAATCACAAGTTTGAACACAGGCTGGTCAATTCAGTGACTTAGGCAGACCCTATCTCAGAATAAAAAAAAATTTTTAAAGGGGCCCAGGGATTTAGCTCAGTGGCACCGTGCCTGCCTCGCAAGTGGAAGGTCATGAGTTCAATCCCTGGTACCAAAAAAAAAAAGAAAAAAAAATTTTAAAGGGCTGTGGATTGTAGCTCAGTGTGAAAGCCCTGGGTTCAACCCCATTATCCCCCCCAAAAAATAAAGAAAGAAAAGAAAGTCACTAGTCCTAGCCCTGAAAGAGAAATTTCTCAACCAGTGGATCTTCGAAAAAATAATAATAATAAAAATAATAATTTAACTTTTAGGGGATTTTGCTTACAAAGAACCTGTATACCCTTCATGGAGCTTCTCTCAAGGCTAACATCTCCATAATGGCAATACAATTATCTCAGCCAAAAAATAATATTAATACAATCTTTTTTAAAAAACTGTGCTGGTGGGTGAACCTAAGGCCTTACACATGCTAGGCATCCACTTTTCCCCTGAGCTACATTCTCAGCCCTTTTAATTTTATTTTGAGACAAAGTGTGACTAAATTGCCCAGGCTGACCTCAAACTTAGAGTCCTCCTGAGTAGCACGGATTACAGATGTGAGCCACCTCACCCAGCTTATTGTACAGATCTTATCCATACTTGACCAATTGTGCTACTGATTTTCCTTTTTTCAGTCCAGGGTCTAATCCAAGAACCCAAATTGCATTTGGCTGTCAAATCTCCTTATATCTTCTAGTCTAGGACAGTTCCTTAGTCTCTCTTATCTTGATACTTTGGAAGAGTACTGGCCATGTATTTTGTAGAATTGTAATTCAGTGTGAGTTTGCCTAATATTTTCTCGTGGTTAGACTGAGATTACAAATTTTTGCTATGCTACTTCTGCTCATTGTGTAGTATCAGGAGGTACCTAATGTCAGTATCTTATTGTTTATAAAGTTGACTTTCATCACTTGATTAAAGTGCTGTCATGAATTTTAGCATCAATGAATCAGTTCTTGCCTACAACAGTTATTATTGTGATTTTTCCAAATAGTCTTTTCCTATTCATTGAAATTCTATTATAAAGAAAATCTGTCCCCTCTCCCTCAGGGGCATGATTTTGAAACAAGGGTGCTTCCCTTATGGGACTTATTGCTGAGTAATGAATAGAAATTGATGCAAGAAAGAAATGAAGAAACCACTATACAATGAAGAATCTAACCAATTCAGCTGAATATTATGTCAGGAAAGGGAAGACCAAGGAAATTTTCCACAACAATTTATTTATTATTACAGATTCAAAGTATGATTTTAAAAATGAGGGCAATAAATATGAAAACAAGTTGTAAGAGGTAAATGTACAAATCCAATGAATAAACTTTTACTAGATCCTGGACTGAAAAAAGGAAGCTACAAAAGACAATTTTAGAGACAGATAAGGAAAATGTATATATAGTTTGAATATTTGATGATATTAAGGAAGTATAAATTTTCATAGTGTGTTAATGGTTCTTAGAAAGCATACACCAGAGTTGAAGTATTTAAGAATGAAGTGGCAAAATACTGAAATTCACTTTCAAATAATTCAATGAAATATAGGTAAGCAGATAGATACAGATATAAAAATAGATAAAGCAAATTAAAGTCTAAAAATATTGAAGCTCACTTTAAAATAATTCAGTGAAACATAGGTAGGTAGATAGATGTAGATATAAAATAGATGACCCAAATATGTGGAAAATGTCAATAATTGTTAGGTCAATAGCTATTAGGTTTAAAAGTCCAACTTTTCTGATTGTTTGAAAGTTTTAATAAGTATTAGGTAGAAACTAATTCCTGTAGGAAAAATGAGAGGGGATATTTTTAAGGACTTTCCTCAAAACCAGTGATAGTTGTATGCCAAGGGTCAGAAAGTACAGATGTTAGAAATCTTCCTATTTCTCTATTACAGTAATGAAGGATGTCACAGCGTACAGCAGTTACAATGATTTATGCTATAAATAACAGAAAATCCAATTCAAGTGACTCATGCAAGGAGGGAATTTAGTGGCTTCTATAACCAGACATCTGGATCTAGGGAAGGCTTCTGGCCTGATTTAATATAGTGGTGTTGTCTCCATTCCGTTTTCCTTAGCTGTGCCCACCTGCGGGCCAGCTTCCTCCCCACACTGGCTTCTTATGCAGACGCAAAGGTTTTGCCTTTGACTATCACTATGTCTAAAGAGAAAAAACATCATTTCTGCTGATTTTCTTCTAAGAGTGTGGTCCCTCCCTCTCCTGTGGCTGGGTCACGTGGGTCTCTATGGCCAAAGCAGTGCTGTATGCTGATTGGCTTAGGCTGGGCTTCTGAGTTGATCTGAAATTATACCGAAGAAGTGCAAGAGCTCTATGAGAAGGGCAAAGGAAAGTAGATTCTGGTTAGCAATCTGTAACATTCGCTGGACAGGGAAACATATCTTTCACAAAATGGTACGATAGCCCAGATGAAGAAGACAGGTTGCTACCGTTTGGCAGAATAGATACAAATAAAAAATTAAGATTCTCAAAACAGAATGGGAGGGAAGCATATCTGACAAGAAACTTTGGATCTATAATAAGAGATTGCTTAAGTACATCAAAGAAAGAATTTTGGTTACAGAATCAGTGATACAGCAATGCAAGGGGCTCACCTGTAGTAAAACATCAAAAGCTAACAAAACAAGTGAGCAAAAATGAAATAAATGATTTGCCTTGATCTTGACTTAGAAATATTTCCACCCCCATGTGGTTTTCAAAAGGAACAAATCCAAGGTGCTAGGCCAAGTGTTTGTAAACTCACAGGACATCCAGTGTTCATCCCTTTGGAGTTGCCCACAGGGATGGTCACCGCCACAGCAGTTTTGCCTCAGGTGTGAGTGGTGAGATGTGAATGTTTGTAATGCTTTATAAGCTCCCCTGGCAACTCTGCTATGGAGCCAGATTGCAAGTCACTGCTCTGAGATCTTAGGAACACACTAACCAGAGAGAGAGAGTTCACCAAACTGGCAGAGCTCTGAAAAAGAAAGGAAGAAGGAGGAAGGGGAGGAGGAGAAAGGATTCAACACCAAAGGTGGGCATTCATGGCCCCACAGACAGAACTGCTCCCCCTCTGTGACACTCAGGGTCACCTAGTCCTTGCCCCTACTAGGTCAACATGTGCAAACCAGAGGTCAGAAATGCAGCTCCTGGAAAATAAAAGCAAAGCACATCTCAGAATACACAGACAAAGGGGCGCCAGCCAGACAATTTAAGATAATAAATCAGTTTCCAAACTAGTAGAAATAGCAGCTCTTCTAAGGGCAACTGAAAGGCAGGAGGGTGAGCCGAGCACTGCCCACACCAGGGTCTGTGGGAAGATGACTGCACCCTCCCTCAGCCGCCCCAGTCAGAGAGAACCACTAGGCTGAAGAGGACAGTGGGAGAGGTCAGCGCTCCTTAGGAGGAGCAAGGTTTGGAACAAGGAGGAAAAAGGTGGAGAACTTTAAAGGAGGGACAAAAACAAGTGTGAGTTACGATCCAGCTGGATTAGGGCCAGCTCAAACTGCTTTTGTAGAACCATCTCCATCTCCCGCTTTGTTGCTGAGCCCTGGTGGGTCCTGAATTGCAGCAGCAACAGTCAACAACATTGCCTTTTACTGAGTACTTCCTCTGACCCAGGTTAGTGCAACATAATGACTTTAGAGTCATTTCTCACTTAGTCCGCACACCAGCTCTATTTTCCTCATTTTAGAGTAAGAAAACTGAACTTTAGGAAAAGTAAGCTGTTTATTTGAGGTCATATGGCCCCAAAGTGGCAGGTTGGGATTCAAACCCAGATCTGTGTGAGTCCAGAGTTACCTTAGTGGTACTCGTGCTGGGGCTCTACCAGGCCCCCAGTTGCCCTCTTTCTCCTAGCAAGTGAGACCTAGAAGGAACTACCTCCAAGCCTGTCCAGCTCCCTGAAAAGAGAATCTTTGTGAACATGCCCATCTTAGTCTATTTTTTGTTGCTATAACAGAATTTTGAGACAGGTGACTTACAAAGAACAGAGGTTTATTTTGGATCACATTTCTAGAGGCTGGGAAGTCAGAGATTATGGCACTGGCATTCACTTGGCTTTTGGTGAGAGCCTTGTATTGCTTCAGCTCATGGTAGAAATAGACAAAGACAAGTCAGTACAGAAGAGAGAAAAGGGGACCAAATTCTTGTGATAGCTAAGCACTTTTTTCGAGAAAGGCACTGATCCAGTCACCAGGGTCCCACTCACATGACCTAAACACCTGCTCCAGATCCCACCTAGTACTAAGGATTTAAGGTTCCAGTACATGAGCTTTTGGGGACACAGTTGAAGCATAGCAGTGTCTAACTATTACTGTACCTGAAATAAGTTTTACTCTTTTCTAAAACCCCTCTATAGCACCTTACAAAAATGTACAGAACATTCCATGCACATAACAGGTACTTTAAAAAGGTTTGGTTTGCTTGGGATCTGAACCAGGATGAGGTTGGTGGCTAAGATCATTGGAGAAACCACCAGCTTGCCCACTTCAAGGAACAGAAATGTATGTATATGGGGAGAAGGGATTCTGGCTCCCCAAGGCCCTCTGAACCTGTGAACCTAATTCCTGGGCACTGATAGACAGCTGCAGATGCAAATCCTGATCTCTCACCTGCATGGGGCCCCTTGGACTCATCCTTGAATATTTTTATACAATTAAATTGGGCTCAGGACTCCTCAGTTATTCATGGCTATTGGACAAAATTAAAATCTACCTTTATCTGTAAAATTTTGATAAAGCTTTGATCTATCATTGCCTTGTTTTTAGAAGGCCACAGTCATTAAGAAAGTAGCAACAGCAGGGTCCTCTGATACATACCTGTAATCCTCCCAGAACTCAGGAGACTGAGGCAGGAAGATACTGAGTTAAAGCCCAGGCTGGACCATATAGCAAGATCCTGTCAGATAGAGAGAAAGAGAAAGAGAGAGAATGTTTTCAAAAGGGTAAATTATAAATGCTTGAAAAACTTTGTTAAAGAAATTTGTCTTGTGTGCTTACAGCCTGACCTATTATCCTGAATATTAACTCCTGATATGCATTCATCAATAATATTTTTTTCTTTTGTCTTTAGTGGAAAAGGCTGCTATCCGACCAGCTAAGAGCATGGACTCTCTCTGTTCAGTGCCTGTGGAAGGTGAGGTTTTATAGTTTCTGAACTGGGCACTACACTGGGAGACCGGAGCTCATCCACACTTGCCAGCTGCTCTTCCACAGCCATGATCACGCATGATCACCCAGTCCTGATCTCTCCCCAAATCGAGGGTTTCTCATAGCTCTTGCCATAACCTCCCCTACGCTACCACCAGCGAGGCATGAAGAGCCTTTCTCTCTCTCCAGCCTTCCTCTACCACAGCCAGGAACTATGGTTATTTTTCATTGAAACCTGAGCCAGGTAAAAAACACCTGAGAATTAAAACTGGAAGAAACTTGGGCAGAAAGAGTCACATATTGTTTTCTACCTAGTGGTTTTCCCCATTTACCTCATGGTTTTTATTTATCAGTAAACCTTGACTAGGCACCTATGTGTCAGGTGAGTGTAGTTGGTACCGTTTCCTTTGTTGGAGTAGGTGTGTGTTCAGCTGCACATGCTGTAGCCACCATCACCAAAACCACACATCATCATGTTTGTACTCACGACACTAGGGTTAAGGGCCGACTTGTCTGCATCTCTCTCTCTTCTATTTTTGTTAAACAACCAATAAGTTACAAGCAAAGAGCTTCCCTGAATGTAAACTGTTCAAACTTTCTTACAAAGTATGATCAAAAACTATGGTGAATATTTAAATATTGCAAAGTCCTGGAATAAAAATCACATCACTAATCAAAATATCATCAAAATACTCCCTCTCACTTCAGACACACTTAAACCACATTCTTGCTGCTTTCTGAAGCCAATCCAGAATTCCTTTTCCATGACTGTCTTTAGTTACACTTTCCTGGCACCTGGATGTCCTGAAATCAAAATGTTTACATTTCCTTGTCATTTTGACTTTGAGGAAGAGCCAGAAATCACATGATGCTATATCCAGTGAATAAGGTGGAGGAGGACACTATGTTTTCACAAGCTTGCCTTCCGATTGGATGGTACTTAGCCACAGCATTCACTGTATTTTTTATCAAACCTCATAAAGACAGTCATGATAAAGGACTTCCAGAACTACTTAAGAAAGTGGCAAGAAAAATGGGACAGTATGTTCAAAGCAAAGGAGAGTATTTTGAGGGGGGGAAAGTAGCAAAGTGTCTTTTACTGTAATAATTTTTGTACATATTTTAAACATTCACTGTATGTTTTGATAGCCCCTTGTATATTTATTCTGTGGCTTTCTAACCCCTTAAATACAAGACATTTCTCTCTTTGATAAATGAGGTAGCCTGAGACAATATAGGAGAGTTTTAGAACAACTTTTTAAAAAATTATGTACTGCAAATATACTAATAAAAATAATTTTTTAAAAGCTAAAGCTATAGAATACTCAGTGAGATCCTTTTAAGCTGTCTTGATACTTTTAGCATTTTTCTCATGTTTATATTCATCCATTTGCTTTGGTTGTGAAGTCTCTAGGAAAGTTCTTGCAGGGTTTAATATGCCAACATCTAGTATCTATGATTTACACGGGTGCTGGTGGGTCATCCAGATTCTGTCTCAGCTTCCTCATGTGTTAAAGGAGATAACTACAAAGAATTTTAAATATAATATTACGTAAGGTGCTACGTAAGCATAGTGATTAGTCCCAAGTTAGAAGTTATTTCTGGATTCCTGAAAACTTACATGTCATCTCTCAGCCTACTTATTCCCATACAGAGGTCTCTCTTCTTGGCCTTCTCTTCTAAGTCAGTCAGGAACTTGCTCCTCGCTACTGTGCTTTCTAACATTTAGTTAATTCACATTCCTAGTTTTTCATTCTCTGAATCAACAGGATGAAGCAAGGGAAAAGGAAGAAAAGGTCTAACTGAGAACTGCATTAGTTTCCTTGGTGGGAAATCAAACCCTGTCTGGATCTATCTTCCAGAGAACACATACAACAGTAGGTTTTAAGGTTTTAAAAATGAAACAAGATTCTGTTATTTTGCCCTTTTGTCCTCTTCATTTTGATCAAATACCATTCTGCCATCTCCCATTTGTGTGGTTTTTTTCACCATCTACATTTAATGCTTGGTAGGTGCTCTCCCTGCCATATTAGAACTGACACACAGCACACCAGCAATGGTTCTTTAAGAACATCAGGCTGAAATTCTGTGCATATGCCAAAATGCTTTCTCTCTTGTCAACACAGTGTTATGCGCCCATCTTCACTAGGTTGTCCATGCCCTTGTGACACTGCCACAGCTTTCCAGCATTCAGATGCCCTGTGCCTGTCCTTCCCAGGAGGCCTGTGGCTGTGTGCATGCCTATGCTGCTGACCAATGTACCTGTTCTTTTTCACTAGGAAAAGAAACCAAAGGGAATTTCAGTCGAACAGTCACTACTGGTGGATTTTTCATTCCAGCCACGAAATTACACTCCACCAGCCCTGGCAGCTCCTGTGACCTCAGCAAGCAGGAGATTGATTGGGGCCAAGAGGGTATGCTTGCAGGGGCTGAGGGGGGCTTTGATGTGACTAGTGACCAGAGCCAACTCCAGGGAGCTCAGGTCCGGGTCCTGCCTGAGCAGCTGAAGGTGTTCCGACCTATTGAGGATCCTGAAACTGAGCAAACAGCCCCAAAGATGCTGGGGATGTTCTACACCTCAAGCGACAGCCCCAGCAAATCCATCTTCACCAGCAGCCGCTTCCAAATGGAGCCCTCACCCCATCACCAACGCAAGGTGCTCAATATCTCCGAGCCTTTTGCGGTATCTGTGCCACTCCGAGTGTCCGCCGTTATCAGCACCAATAGCACCCCATGCCGAACACCCCCCAAGGAGCTGCAGTCCCTCTCCAGCCTAGAAGAGTTTTCCTTCCAGGGCTCAGAGAGTGGAAGCTGGCACGAAGAGGAGAAGCCAATGGGAGCTGAGATTTCTACAGGTAAAGTAAGGAACAAGGTTTTGTCGACAGCAAGAGATAAAAACCAGACTTGAACTTGCTTATAAATAGAGATCGCAAAACAGTGTGGTGAAGTGGTTAGGACTGTGAGCTCCATAGCCAGACTGAATGCAAATCCAGGCTCCACTATTTAGCTGTATGATCTTCAGCAAGTTAACACAGCCACGCTGTGCCTCAGTTTCTTAAACTATAAAATGGAAATGATGATGTTAATAATCACACCTTTTACATAAGTTTGCTGTGATTATTAAGTTAGTTAACATATGTAAAGCTCTCAAAACAGTATACAATATACAGTAAGTACTTAATAAATATTTTTATTTTATTTGCTCATAGAAAGCAGTAGGAAAAGATTGCAGAATGGAATGTAAAGCTACAGAGCTGGAACTGAAGATTCAGCTCTTCCAGACTCACTCATTCTTCATCCATCCATCCCTCATTTCTACCTCATATCTGCAGAAGAGCAGGGGTAGAAAACCTAGCAATGAAATAGAGCATCTCGCTTCTACTTCCTATATCATTCACAGGAAGGACTCTGATTGGCTGTGCTTGAGTCACATGTCCAGCCTTGCCCCAACCCCTATTCCCAGTCCCTACTGGGGTAAGATGGGCCAGGCCTGAGTCTCTGGGCTGGGTCTGGAGTAAGGAAGGGAGCTTTGATCAACAACCCTGCCTGAGCCGTCAAAAATAGAAATAGGGAAAACCCCAAAGGAAAGGATGGCTGATAGTCAAATGAACATGTGTCTTATTGTGAATTAGGAATATTTCTATATTAACTGATATTGGCTAACTTTTTGTAGTATCTTTGTACTTTAGTACCTTCAGTACTTTCCCATCAAGCATGTCCTAAGTGTTCTATGGGTATTATTTCTCCTCCCAACAACCCCATAAAGTGCTATTATCCCCACTTGCTTAGAGAGGACTATGTAATTTGCCCAAAAATTCGTAAGAAGGAAGTGGTTAAAAACAAGAATTTTAATGAAGATTTTAAAAAACAAACTTACATTCATAAGCACTCTGTCACACTCCCTGATGTGCTTACCAGGGGCTGTGGAGTTAGAAAGCTTGTTGAGACCTGACCCCCTTTCCCAGGGAGCTCAGAGCTAGGAAGGGAAAGTGGAACTGCATTGATTCTCAACGAGGGTCAGCCTGTGGAAATCACCTAAGAGCCTCCTCCTGCTTTTTATCTTGAGGGAGGACTTAGGTATCTGAAGTATAATGAAAGGAGTATTCAGAAAAGACTGAAGGAGGGAGAGGCAATCCTCTCAGGAGAGTTCCAGAGAAATTTACAAGAGGTGATATTCAGGCTGCATCTTCATATGGGTAGGATTTTTCTGTGCAGAGATAATTAGAAGTGGCATTTTGACCGCCAGGTAGCTGAGCATTGCAGAAAGGCTATAGGGTTTGGACCTCAGCTGGGCTAATTCGGATCCCAGCTTTACCACCTTTTGGCAGTGTGACAGTGGGTAATTGATTGATATCTCGGAGCCTTTCTTCCATCTGCAGAGCAGGGGAGGCTCCTTTCTCAAAGCCCAGGCCAAGGTCTGAAGGAGAGAAGGTCCATAAAATACCTGTCAGGTTCATTGAAGATGCTGGGTAAATATTAGCTGTTCCCTCCTCGCCTTTGCCTTTATGATGGGGCTCAGATGAGCCAAAACTCAGGGACAATGAATGACGTCCTGTCTGGAAAATGGTCCTTGGGCTGAGGTGGGTGGAGCGGGACAAGGGAAAGAGGAGGAACAGTGCCTTTAAGGAAAACAGTTTCCAAAGGCTTGGTCATTCTCTCCAAAACACAGGGTCTTGGGCTTCAAAGAGTCTTTTGGTGATGGTCTCTCCTTTCTCTTTCTTCCTGTAAATAAGAATATCAAGTCTATATTAAATTTGGTCTGGGAAAGATACTAATGGGGATTCCAGCTTGCCTTCCTGCCTGTGGAGGAAGTAGAGTGGTGGAGGTGGCCACACAGGCTGGGACAGGAGGCTGAAGGGAGATGCTGGAAGATGCCAGGACAGCAGGCCCCCTGGCCTTCCCTCTGGTGGGGTTAGGCCAACTTACATTTCTTCTCTCCTCCCATTATCATTCCAGATAGAGGACTTCACTTGCATTAGTAAAATATTTTTTCTTTCTTTGTGGAGTAGCAGTGGGTAAAAGAAAAAAAATGAAGACAATTTTCCAGATTATCTAATTAAAAATTTTAGTCACTATGATCAAGGGAATTCTCCTACTTTGAACCAAAATAGGTGAAATTTCAATGTGACCTGAAGGATAAGAGATATAAGTATTGCACTTTAACACTAAAGTGCTGAAATTACATTGATTGTTTCAAAATAAAGAATCAGTGTCACAGTAGTAATTGATCGCCTGATTCAGGCTTATGCCCTGCTAACCTCAGCTGGGAGATAAAAGCATCACAAACTGCTCCTTTTGCAAGAAAAGGGAGAGATAGGGACCGGCTTAAAAGCTACAAGGACTGTGCCTGCCCTCCTAGAAATACTCATTATTGGAACATCAGAGTAACCATATAGCTTTAAGGAAACTTGACAAATGAAAATCCACAATTTCCCTAGTAGATATTAAGAGTTGTTTCATTCTTTCACTGAAGCATTCACAGTGGAATCTCCCCCCCCACACACACACATTACCAAAATCTGTAGTATTTTACTACAGCAAAACAAAACAAACAAACAAAAAAAACAAATGCTTTCACAGTATTGTTTTTGGAGCCTTGTTTCATGAATGTCAAAGCAATTCAGAAGTAGAACATAACTCACAATAGGGTACTTTAAACAATTTATTTAACTACAATGCCATACATTGCCTTCCACTTATTTTGATACATCTTTTTCCCATAATGATTTAGAGGATCTTCAAGCCAGCAAAGGTATTTCATAAATATTTGGGTATTTACAGTACCTTCACCTGTGCCCAACCTTGTCTGCATTGGTCACAGTGGACTAAACACTACCAACATCCAAACTCGCAGCCATGGGAAAAGAGGAGGAAGTAGGCCAAGGCTTTAGCTCAGTGGTGCTGCCGCCTGCCTTGCAAGCACAAGGTCCTGAGTTCGATCCCCAGTACCAAAAAAAAAAAATCTAACTTCTTGAAAAGGGGAGGAAGCCATGCAGCCTCCACTCATGGGTGTAATCCAGCAGTTGCACGCTTGACTTCCACACCACCCTGTGTGCTAAGGCTTGTTTTACACAGATGCACCTGCCTTCAAAAGGGGCTGAGAAAGGTTGTCACCAGCTGAAACTTGGGCAGTGAGAGAGGTTCCAGTCCTACCCAAAGAAGACACTGGATACTAATGAACAGTCTTTGTCTCCCTGGTTACTCACTTCATGCTGGGAACCCTCTCTGTGGTAGCTTAGAATTATCCACCATATCTGTCAATCACCAGAAATTTACTGGACTCCTAGGTCCATAGCAGGCAGTGTCTAAGGCTAGATACTGGCTCTGTCCTGAGGAACAAACCCTCAGAGGGAACCAAGAACATGTGAAAAGGGGATGGTGACCTAGGAATTGAGCCCACAAAGGTAATAACAAGAAGTGCTGCCACAGGGGAATGGAAGGCTCCAAAGAGGTGGCATCAGGTGTGTGCCTTGAAGAGTGGATTCCTTTCAGGTTACAGGGAGGACCAGAGCAGAGGAGTGCAAGGCCTCATGGGCATGTGGTAGGAGAAGACCAGACATGCAGCACAACCAGAGTGAAGAGGGCCTTTTGCACACCCTGATAGAGGTATAGGGAGCATTGAGGGCTGGTGGCGAGGGAGTGAGTCCCTCCTCCTCACACCAGAGTCCATTTAAAGGGTCACAGTCAATGAGCAGAAGACCTGAGTGCTACAAAAAGAGACACTGGTAGGGGCCGGGGATTTAGCTCAGTGGTTCTGCCTTGCAAGCACAAGGACCCAAGTTCGATCCCCAGTACCAAAAAGAAAAAGAAAAGAAAAAGAGACGCTGGTAGATTTGTCCAACTAATAGACCTGAGCAGAATGCTAAAAATGTCTTTTAAAAATTACTGATGCATTTACCCTTTCACCCAGAAGTCTCGCTTCCAAAAATTTACCCTGAATCAATAGCTGCACAAGTCCAGAATGATATATGCACATGATGGTGTTGCTTATGCCAATAGCAAAAAAAGTCGTGTGCGGAGCCTGCCCCACATTCCCTCCAACTCCTGTTCCTCCACAGAGAACCATTTCTGAGCTCACAGAAAGCATCTTCTCTCAAGTATTTCTTCTCGTGTTTCTTGTTTTCTGCCTCAGGGCTTTTCTTGCAAGCAGACTCTTACTCAGCCCTTGCTTGGGTCCTCTCAGAATAGGGAAAATCAACTGGTCATTCTCAACCAACATGAGCCAGGAATCAGTGGACAAATGAGCCAGTCTCACACTCTTCCGAGGGGTAGTTGTGGGGCACAGCCACACAGAGTTACCAAGGAGAGAGTCATGGTGGCCCACAGTGGTAACCACCACAACAACATACTTTGCATGACTTTCCCTCCACCCCATCACTCCTCCTTCCAGGTACCTCCTTCCATATAAGCTGCCTGCTGCCTGGACTTTGTTTCAGGGTCAGCTTTGTGGCGAGCCCAAACCAGTCCACATCCTAAAGAGTAATCGATTTCCCTTTAGACTAATATGGCATGGACTTCAAGATACATTCATTGAAAAAATGCAAAACAAAGAATAGCATATGTCATATGCTATATTTTATGTAATAAGAGTAGGAAATAAAAATTATACATTACAAGTACCTGTACATATGCAAAAATAAATGCATTAAAAAAGCAGAAACTAACAAAAGCAATCATGTAGAAAGGACAATGGGGCTGTGGCCCAGGACAGAAGCAACAAGAATGAAAGAAAACTCCTTAAAAGAATGCCTTTTTATATAGTTTTATATAATTTTAACTTCTGAACACTGTAAATGTTTTACACGTATGGAGATTAAATTAGCCAGGCATAGTGGCATAAACCCGTAATCCCAGCTACTCGGGAGGCTGAGGCAGGAGGATCACAGGTTTGAGGTCAGTATGGGCAATATAATGAAACCCTGTGTTGATATAAAAACTAAAAAGGGGCAAGGGACATAGGTGAGTGGTAGAGTGCTTGTCTAACATGTGTGAGGCCCTTGGTTCACTCCTCAGTACAAAAAAATTTTTTTTTCAAAAAATAAACCTACTAAGTAATAAGTAAAACAAAATGGTACTACAGTTAATTCCAAAGCATTGTTAGTTCAATCATCAAGATGCTAACACTAGGGCTGACAGAGCTGCTAGGCTGGCATCATGGTTAATGCCCAGAAGTAAGTCTCCAGGTTAACTAATGGCAATTGGCAGAGTTTATTCTCAGTCTGCAAGCATTTCTGAGCTTGATTGTATGTCAGACCCTGAGCTATGTGCTTCACTTCTGTTATCTACTTTATCCTCATCTGGACCTGCAAAGAGTATTATCATGATGCCACTGTCCTAAAATGATAAAATTCATTGAGAAACTAGAATTTGAAAGGAAGCTTATTTAATGCCCCTGTAAATAATGACATTTGTTGAGGGCTTGCTGTGTGCTAAGCATTGTTTGGGCATTTTGCTTAGTCTTTATTCCGCAGTCTTTTCTCGGCAAGGCAGAAGTGGCCCAATTTGAAGTTTGCCTCCTTTCTCCTGTGTCAGTAGGTAGGTGCTTAAGACAGGAGCTTGATCACTTCCGCTGTGCTGGAATTGACTGTTGATGACCCTAAGAAGCAGTCAACCATATGATCTCTTTGCAGCCTGGTAAAACAGCAAATTTTTGTGGTCTTGGGCACCAAGCTTGACTGCCCAAGGCCTGAGTATTTATTTGTGAAGTGAAAGGCTGGGGAGGGCCAAATTTCTTAACTTTGACACTATTGACATTTTGGGCTGGATAATTTTTGCTGGCAGTGGAGTGGGGCATCCCGGAGGATATTTAGTTAGCAGCATCCTTGGCTTTTAAGCTATAGATGCCAGTAGTGGCACTCACCTCCCCCAATACTATGACAACAGAAATACCTCCAGACACTGCCAGTGTCCCCTGGAGGGAACATGGCTCCTAGTTGAGAACTACTGGACTAGGATGATCCCTTCTCCGATAGTCTGTGACTCTGTGACCTGAGGCCAGGACATTGTGGGAAGAGGGTCAAGAACACAAGAGACAATGAGTTGGGAGAATTCCTTGTCCTTGTGAGGCAGGGCCAGGAGGCAGGATGGTGACTGTTTTGGGAACAACCTGTCTTGAAGTGAAGTCTTTGAACTCAAACTGATCACTCCCATCCTCTTTTCAGCTTCTGGTGCCAAGAATGCTGTTCTCGAGGATGCCTCACCCAAACCTGAAGGCCAGGGGATGGTGGAATGCAACCAGGGCCTTTCCCTGGAGCCACAGGCCCAACCAGAGGAGAAGAAAACCTCAGAACCCTCCTTGGCCTCCCAACATTCAAAGGGATCAGAGAAGAGACCAAAACTGGAGAAAACGGAGGAGGAAGACCGAGAGGCTGGCCCAGTGGAGGCCACTGCTCCTCCAGAGGGCCCCGGGGCCAGAGCCAAAGCTGTGTTTCTCCATGAGATGGTAAGGTACACAAACTGTCTGCTCCATCCATGTGCAATCTTCTTTTCCATGGGGGATCTGGGTCCAAATTAAAGTAGATTTAAAAGAATTGGTTTCTGCCAAAAGAAGGACTTTAAGAGACTTACTTCTCTGGCAAGCGCAAGTCCCTGGGTACCAGAGAGAGAGAGAGAGAGAGAGAGAGAGAGAGAGAGAGAGAGAGAGAGAGAGACACTCACTTCTAATCAGAACTAGAATTTTTTTTGTAGTAGACTTTTCAGGAGTCCGGTGATAGAAAGAAACCACTGAGCTCAGATCCTCAAGGACAGGTTCAACTCTTTGTCTGACCTAGGGCCACCATAAGCCAATGATATGTCCTTGGGATTTAATGATATTCTATGCTAGAAGCCACACAAAACTTGCTTGTCGCAGCCCAGGCCTAATACAATGATCATTCATGAGATCCTGCCCTCTTCTTCCAGACATCCTGGATGGGTGGTTGTCTAAGCTTCTTTCTAAAGTCTGGGAGATCTTCAGGGTCCACCCCTTCCTCCTCTGGCTCCTGGAGACATTAAAAGACCATGCCAGAGTTGATGGAACCTTGTCCTCTTTACAGCTGGAATTTCCCAAGAAGGATTTTGAGCTGTCCTTACATAAAAAGGTGTGGGGAGGTTTCCTGAGGACACCCAGGGAGGAGCCTGACATTTGGAAGGTGGCACTGTAACCAAAAGTATGTCAAAGGGAAAAAGGAACCTCATTGCCTTTTAACTCACTTCTAGGACATGTGCTACAGAAGTACATGCTGGGAGTTAGGGCAGAGCTGGGGTGCCATGGTGGCCAGGAGGACTTCAGGAGAGTCCCTATAAGACATGGTTGCATTTGTAGAAAGGGAAGGATTTTTATAGAGATTATACTCTTATGGGGAGAACCCAAGTATGAATAGCATTGCTCTGAGAAGCAATGAAGTTAGTGCTGGAAGAATTAGGGTGGTCTCGGAGGACAAGTAAAGGCATCCATTCCTTCATTTAAAGTATGTGTTAAGCCAGGTGTGGTAGCCTAAGGCTGTAGTACCAGCACTTAGGAGGCTGAAACAAGAGGATTGCAAGTTCAAGGCCTGGGCTACATAGCAAGACCCTGTTTCAAAATAACAAACAACAACAACAAAATGTGTCAAATACCCACTTTGTGCCACTCTGTTGAAAACTAGGATCAGTATGGGGACAAGATTGTCACCATCCCTACTTGCTTGGGGCTGACAGCCTAGTAGGGAAAGATCATTGAACAAGTAATTTTCAGGGTGAAATGAAAGTGTGGAATGTGGAGAGGATACATTACAGGAAGACCTAACATAATCAGAGGGAGGAGGAGTGTCACAAGGGTCAGGATGGTTAATCTTGATTGACAACGTGTTTAGTAAAGCACACTTCTGAGTATGACTGGGTGGTCCCAGCAGTGTGACCTTGGGAACCACATCTGGTCCCTCACCCCTTTCTTCTCCATCTGGCTCTTCCTTGCTCTTTGTTTCCTGGCTGGCATGAGGTAAGCAGCTGCCCTTCTACCATGAAGTTTCCCTCTTAGAGCCAGTCAACTATGTACTAAAGACTGAAACCTCTGAGCCAGGAGCAAAATTAAACCTCTCCACTAAGTTGTGCATGTCAGGTATTTAGTTCCAGCAACAAAAAGTTTACTGAACTAGAGGGCTTCTCCGAAGAATAGAAACTTAGCTTGATAAGTTGCTTTAAAAAAAAAAAAAAAAAGGATGGAGGGTGTATTTCCAGGCAGAAAGAACAAGATGTGGCATGAGTCTGAGGTGGGAAAGAGCCTGAAATAGTCATGGAATGGTAACAAAGCCAGGAGAGCTGGATGGAGAAAGTGAAGCTCCAGTAAAAGCAGGAATCACATCAGGCAGGACTGCATGGAAAGATCTGGGGCTCAACCTAAGGGCAATGGAAAAGCCTGTGATATATTCAGAATTTTGACCTTAAAGGATCACTCTATTCTGTGAGGAAAACGTCTTGTGAAAGGACAAAAGAGAGGGCAAGGATGCCAATTATGGGGTTGCTACATGGAAAACCAAGTGAGGAAAGATGGTAGCTTAGACTAGGGCAAGGGCCATGGGGGAAGTGGAAGGCTTCAGGAGCTGTTTAGGAGGTAGAATGAAGAGGACTTAGTGAAGGGTTGGATATGGAACAAGGATGAAGGGACAAAGACAAATTCTGGCTTTCTGGTCTGGCCAAATTTCCATTGTGATCCATATACTGAGAGATCAGAGAGCAGAATGGAAAGGAGTTTGGAGGTCATTTACTCATTTAAATTCATTGATTTTTTTTTTTTTTTTTGGTACCGGGGATCGAACTCAGGTCCTTGCGCTTGCGCAGCAGGCGGCAAAACCACTGAGCTAAATCCCCAGCCCAATTCATTGATTTCTTAGTAAGGGATTAATTAATGTAGATGCTGAAGAAAGAAACGAGACAAGAAAAACACCTTACCTAGTCTAGTAGGCAAAATAGAACTGTACACAAATAAATGTACTACAGTAGAATCAGAATGTTTGACTGAGTAAGCCAAGAGAGTTATCTGAAAGAAGTAACTTAATAAAAATACACCCATGTCATACTCTTTATTGAGCAGCTAGTCGCAATTTACCAGACACCATTTGGCCTTGGGGAATCAACACAACCCCTGACCTCCAAGAGCCCATGGTCTGCTGGAAATAAGACAAGCATGAAAGTAACTGGAATGTGAGACAGCACATGATTACAGTCAGGTGAGAAGTGATGAGAGGTTGGCAGCACATCAGACTTCTCAGAGGGCCTGAAGCACCACCGGATGGAGATGTTCCCCTGGGTTGCTTCCCCCATGGGTCGGAATTAGGCCTCCAGACAAGGAGTAAAAGAAACAAAAATTTGTTTTCCTGGCCATGGCCAGGCCTCCCTTCATTCTTTTCCTCTCTATAACTTTAGCCTCTGTGGAGGCAAAGGGAGGAGTTAAGAAGGACAAAGGGAAGCTGGACTTGAGAGACAGAGACAGCAAACAAGCTGAAGCAGGAGACAGTTCAACAACCACAGAAAGAATCCTACACACACCCCAGTCAAATTAACAGTGGGTATACCTGGTAGTAGGAATATAGGATTTTGCTGGTTTTGTATATGTTTTTACTCTAATATGTATTTGAAAGTTCCCCATATTATGTTAGTCAGCTTTTCATCACTGTGACCAAATACTTGAGAAAAACAAAGGAGCAAAGATTAATTTTGACTCACAGTTTCAGAGGCTTCAGTCCATGGTCATTTGGCTTCATTGTTTCTAGGCCTGTGGTAAGGCAGAAACATCATGGCAGAAGAGTAAGGTAGAGGAGAGCTGCTCACCTCATGGCAGCCAGAAAGCAGAGAATGAGAGAAAGAACCAGAGAGGAAGGGACCAGGGACAACATATAGTCCACAGGGTCATACTCCCATGACCCACTCCCTTCAGCTAGGCCCCACACCCTGTCTTCATCACCTCCTAGTAAAGCCATCAACTATAAACCCATCAATAGATTAACCTATTCATGAAGTTAGAGCCCTCATGATCTAATCACTCCCAAAAGCCCATCCTCTGAATACATGAGCTTTTTAGGGGACATTTTACATCCCAACCATAACACATACAGAATATACATTTCTTCAGTAATAAGCAAAAGAACTATATTTATTTACTTGGACAGCAGGAGTTAGGGTAAGAGTTAACATTTTCATTCCACTAGCAGTATTGCCCAGAGATTAAATGTTTGTGTTCTGATGTAGACAGGGCTGGATTTCAATCCTGGTTTCCTGATCTCTGATTTAGATAAATTGTTACCTTATCTGAACCTAGGCCTCCTAATCTATAAAATGAGAATAGTGTTCATCTCCTAGGGTATTGGGAAAATTAAACAAGATGCAAAGAATTTTATGGCACATGGTAAGCACTCAGACCTCCACTGGTGCTAATGATGCTGAATCCTTTCTTTATTGGTCCCTTCACTCTCCCTAGAAACAGGGCAGATGTCAGTGTCTAGAGTCCTTGGTTCTAAGGTATCAGTTTCATGATGTTTTTCAGGATGATGATGATGTGACCAACCCCCTTCTCTGGCCCGAGATTCAACAGGAACTGAAAATCATTGAATCTGAAGAGGAGCTCTCCTTGTTACAACCCCCTGCTCAGAAGATCAGCCCGGTTCAACTAGTTCTTGAGCCAAGCCTAGCGTCCTTTTCTTTCCCAGAGGTTCCTGGGAACTTGTCTTGTGGCTCTGCCCCCACCCAAGTTTCCACCACTCTGGAGGCATGGACTAGGGACTCAACCAATCATGATACACAGAGGGCCGCCATGGCAGCCAATAGGGAGAAGCTGAAGCCAACCAGCAGTCTCCATAAATATAAGCATGAGCAGGGCTTGCACCCAGATCAAGCCAGTCTGGTTCCTCTGGATATAGTTCCCTTTGAGAAGGTGTCTCCATGGGCTAGAACAGAGGTAGAAGGCCCAGAGAATCTCTCCCCTTTGCTGCCACCTGCTCCTCCCCTTCCAACTCCTCTAGAGGAGACATCTCGAACCCTGCAGTCAAGGGACAACCCTGAGAGAGAAGATCCCTGCAGGAATTTGAAGACCAGTCTCTATGTTGAGCATCCAAAGTTGACAGACAGCCCTGGGGTCTCCAGCATCTATCAGGGAGATGAGGCAGCTCTGAAGCAAAGTGAAGAGGAAGATTCAAAGAATGCTGCTCCTGAGAGAAAAGGCCTTGGCATCTCAAGCCCAACAAAGGATGAGATCTCCCCACCAGGAGAAGGGGATGGATCCCATTCAGTACAAGAGCCTTCAGACTGTGACGAAGATGACACCGTGACAGATGTTGCTCAGCATGGCCTGGAGATGGTGGAGCCCTGGGAAGAGCCCCAGTGGGTAACAAGTCCCCTTCACTCTCCCACCCTGAAAGAAGTGCAGGAGTCCCGGGTGCAGACCCCTCAGAGCCACCGACTGGAGCGGAGGCTGATCACTAGGCCCAACCTTCGCCAGAGCCACTCTCTGGACAGCAAAAGTACTGTTCCGACTTGCCAGTGGCCTCTCTATGCTCCCTCCTCCAGCAGCTGTGCTAATCTTGAAACAGAGAAGAGTCCCGACTTTCTGCAGTCCCTGGCAGCCAGGAGAGAGGTGACTGGATGGGATGAGAAAGCCCCAAGGCCCTTCAGAGAGTTCTCTGGCCTGCAAGGGCCAGAGGTTCTTCCCAGCCAGAAAGGACCAACTGGTGTGCATCCCAAAGCAGCAGAGGCCAGCCCTGTCTGCCTAGCAGAGAGAAAGGAGCTGGGGCCTCACTTGGGGCACAGCAGCCCGCAGATTAAACAAGGTGATGTTCCGGGGCTAGACACCAGCAAGGAGAGCTCCCCTACTGTTCAGAGCAGCACCTCGCCTGCAGAGCGTCCCCCACAGTTACAGCAGAAGAGCACTGAATATGGGCCCTCAAAAGGGAAAAATAGGCCTTCTTCCCTCAACTTGGATTCTGCTGTCCCCATTGCTGATCTCTTCTGGCTTGGGAATGGGGCCTCATTTAGTTCACCTGGAGTGCAGCTCTCTGAGCCAGAAGACCCCAAGGTCACCTGGATGACCTCATCTCACTGTAAAGCAGACCCCTGGAGGGTTTGCTCCCAGGACACCCAGGACCTGGACATTATTGCTCATGCTGTGATAGGTCGCCGCCGTAACTCAGCTCCAGTGAGTGTGTCAGCTGTGAGAACCTCCTTCATGGTCAAAATGTGTCAGGCCAAGGCAGTCCCCGTCATCACTCCCAAGATCCAGTACACACAGATCCCACAGCCCCTACCCTCTCAGAGCTCAGGGGAGAGTGGGGCTCAGCCTCTGGAGGGCAGCCAAGGACCACCCAGCTCGACGAGTGGGGCCTCTCAGAAACTTGCCAAAGATGAGTCTTCCACTTCCCTAGAAAACCCCGGAGAAGAGAAAGCAAAGCAAGACACAGGAGCCATTCAGTCCTCACAGTTGGACCTCACTGCATCCTGCATGTGTGAGGGACCCATCCTTTCTCCAGGACCAGGCTCGCCTAACCTGGTCTCCACCCAGGATGCAACAGTGCATTGCAGAAAGCGCACATCAGAGACAGAGCCATCTGGCGACAACCTGCTTTCTTCAAAAATCGAGCGCCCATCTGGAGGTTCTATACCTTTCCACAGGTCAAGGCCAGGAAGACCTCAGAGCCTAATCTTATTCAGTCCTCCTTTCCCCATCATGGACCACCTGCCTCCTTCATCCACAGTGACAGATTCCAAGGTCCTGCTGTCCCCTATCAGAAATCCCACTCAGACAGTTTCCCCTGGCCTTCTCTGTGGGGAGTTGGCAGAAAACACATGGGTCACACCAGAAGGGGTTACACTTAGGAATAAAATGACCATCCCTAAGAATGGCCAAAGACTAGAGACCTCAACCAGCTGTTTTTACCAGCCTCAGCGGAGATCAGTGATTCTGGATGGAAGAAGTGGGAGGCAGATAGAATGATATCCGTCCACCTGCTGGTGTCTGGAAAGCTACCATGACTCAGCTGGACTTCATCACAGGGCCAACTTGCCCCCTTCCGGGCACAGGTTGTCTAAATGTGGGCTGATTTTGGCCTTGGACTTCTTTTTATTCAGCCTTTTGACCATTCATTAATATTGCATTTGCCAGAAGAGTAGTCAAGGAAAGACCAAACAGTGACATTTAGAGTCTGAAAGCAAATGGGGAAGGTTAGGGAAGGAAGGGGAATGGAGTGTGGGGAGAGGTTAGTGAAGGGAAGGGAATAGCGTGCGTGCCTCAAATGAAGTGGGGCTTGCACTGCTCCCCTATCATCATCATTTGTTGCTGTTGAGGCCTGGCTATGATAGTGTCCTTTGAAGGAAAGAAAATCCTTTGCCTGTGTCAGAAAATGTTATAATTGAAATCTGAAACCCTCTTTACTTCATGCTTTGTAACACTCCTTAAAGCATGTGTTCTTTTAAATCAACTTTTAATAAGCTTTGTAGACATGTACTATCCAAAATAGAAGCAGGTTTGGAAATGCAACTGAATGTGCACTTAGATTTCCAAGGGGGTGAACTTACCCAGGTTCTTTCCCTGGGGTCCCTGCAGACCTGCCCAACATGACTGTACAGCGGAATATAAAATCAGAGTCTATACTCAAGAGTAAGCCCTGAGACCGGCACAATCCATGAAGACTGTCTCACTCCGGCCTTCATTAACTTGAGATTCCATCTGCCATTGTACTGAACTCTGGGCAGTACAGATCTGGGCACAGCGGGGACTAAGCTGAGGTTTATCTTACTGTAAAGTTTTGACTCTTCATGTGGGCATGTAGTAGTGAGGTGAAGGTATTAGCTAACAAGATCAGCATCCAGGCACCAAATGCCCTCAGAGAAAAGCCTAATACAAAGCCATAAGTACACTGCATACGTACTGTGTTGAAATTGGTGTGGTATTAGCAGAAAACACCTCTAGTTCAGCTTCATTCCTCTTCCACGTTGGGCACAGAAGTATAGGAAGGGAGGCAGGGCAGAGTCCTAGAAGAGCAGCCATCACCGCCCCTCCCTGGGAGCTGCCCTCCTTAAAAACAGTGCATTTCATCTTAGCCAGTGGGTTCCTTCCTTTCTCAAGGGCAAACTTAAGGCTCCTCTCTCCCTTCTACGATTTCCCTCATCCACCACCCACCCCAGGCACTCAAACTTGCTCTTCTCCTCTGTCTGGATATAAGCAGAAGCATTAACCAATCTGATTTCTTTCAGTTACTTAGAACTCTTAGAACTTCAAGTTGTCCTCTCCTTTTTACGTAAACAGGACTTAAATACCTGCTGGCAGCTTTTTGGTGCTCTCTCAGAAAAAGGATTCACAGGGCAACCCTTCTCAGGTCCAAGCCTGGCTGAACTCTGTTCAGAAGTTCAATCATTGCAGGTATTTCTTTAAGAGCTAGCAGCACCTAAGGCTGACTTCAGGACCAAGGCCATGCTGGGCTGGGGCTGAGCTGAAGTCCTCTCCTCCAGTGAGAAACTGGAAGCTGATGCTCTGCCATAGATCTCTGTCTTTCCCATCCTTCTTCCTTCTCTCCTTCTCTCTCTGTCCTACCTCCCCTTGTCCTTTTTTTCCCTCTCTGATGATAAAAATCCTTGCAGTCTTGAAATCTTTTCCCCTTGGAAGCCTGTGGCTGTGGCAGGGCTAGCGGGCAAGCCTGCTGATGAGTTCAGCCTCTGGAGAGCACTGAGGCGCCTGAGCACTGGGAGCAGTTATAGACTTCTGGTGAGTGTTTTTGCTTTCTCATGGGGCAAACAAGACATTAGAGCAACAGCCAAAAGAGGTCAGCCCAGAAGAAGAGCCCTAGTACATAACATTTTTCCTAGGCAAGCCAGGTAAAGAAAGAGAATGGTGAGAGATGAGAAGGGCCATGATCAGAGATTTGAAAAGCACATTCCTGCCTTATCAGAAAATGTAGCAGATAAGTTTTATGTCAGTCTCAGTGTACTTGTGGCATCTATGCTTAGATAAGGACTGTATTCCAGTTATAATGTGAGAGATGGAAAGAACTGCACTTTGCCAGCCATCAGGACTCTGAGCCAAGTAATGGAATATTTTTTAAAAACTACTCTATGAATATTTTAAATTTTTGTTTGTAATACTTGTATATTTTTATCTGGGAATAGACTGAGAAGCCACCCTTAACATACTAACTAGTGAGGAGCCAGGCATGGTGACACAACTCTGTAATCCCAGCACTCAGGAGACTAAGGCAGGAGAATTGCCCTGAGTTTGAGGCCAGCATGGGCTAGTGAGTTCAGGACCATCCTGAACTACATAGTAGACCCTGTCTCAAAAAGAACAAAAAACCATACTAACAAGTGACTTCGGTTCTAAGGGTTGAGGTGCCTATGTAGAGCTATAAGGTGGCAGCCGTATTTCTGTAGACCCACACCTCCCATTTATGGCATCCCCTTCTGGTGCATAGGTATGTGGTGTCATCATGTGGCCTAGTGATAGCTGTCTGGAGATAGTCCCCACATCAGGCTTTCCAAGCCATTCAACTCTAGAGGCACTGGGAAGCCAACTAACCTTCTCTGTGTCTTGCTGCTCAAGTGTGGACCTCTCCTTTGACAATGTCACAGCCTGTCAATTGTCACACACATATTCATAAACTTCTTGAGGGCTGGGCTAGCCTGGTGCTCATGAAATTCCATTTCATGGCAAAGGAAACTCGTATTTGTCTCCTAAATTGTTCCCCTACATGCCTTGGGATTACCTATTTGGCTACCTACTTGGGACTCTGAGAAATGAGGCCCCTGAGAAGGGCCAGAGGGAATCAGATTGTTCCTCTCTAGAGCCATTGGTTTCAGGAGGATTTGCCTGATGCCCTACCAGCTGAGCAATCAATCATTCCAACTAGGGGTACTCAGAGAATGGGAGCAGCTAACTTTAAATGTTGAAGTGAAATGTATACACAGGCTGTTTTCTTTCAGTATTTATGGTTGCTTAAGAAGATATTAACCCATATTTATTTGTAAAATGGCCCTTCCAGGCCAATTTTTTTTCTTGTGAAATGGACAAATAGAGGTTATTTGGTTTTTTTCTCTACTTCACTTGAAATATGAAGAGACCTGATCAAGAACCTTACTAAGACACTGTCAGCCTAATATTAGCCCTAAAATTTGAAATACTGGCCAAGTCAAAATTCTGGAATCTAGGGACATTAAAAAATGTAAAAATCATCCTCCTCAAATATTTATCAAAAGCCTAGTAATGATGTACTGGGGACCTTAGTACTTCTAAATTTTTTAAGCCTAATGAAAAAGGGACAGGCATCAGAACAAGTGAGATAGCCCATAAACAACTAGGAGTAAGGTTGAGAACCATTAATTACCAAAGGAAAAGAGAAAAAAAAAATGCAGTAACTGACATCTTTTTTGTTCTTGTTGCTAAATTACCTAATATGGACTTGAATTTGCAATCCTCCTGCCTCAGTCTCCAAGTTGCTGGGATTACATACACCATCACACTAGGCCCTAGCACCTTTCAAAAGAATTACTACTATTCAAGTGACCTACTGATTTTAAATAATCAAATTAATCACAATTGCAGGTCCAACTGGCATACCAGTGAGACACTCAGGTGTTGAGAAGTTTGATTTGATTTTAAAAATTAGAGTGGCAAGCAACTAAGACTAAGTAATTCCAAGCTTTTATGCAGACCAGATTGGTTTAATTGTGAAGTTGTGTTGGATCTGGGCAAATGAGCCAGGTGGGATCAGCATTCTATACTGAGAGGACTTTGAGAGACTTTTGTCATCACAGTGTGAGTGAATCCAGCAGCTGATGAAGTCACAGCCCAGAGCATTTAGCACAGGATAATCACACTTGACTAAGCCTGGGTGGGACAGTCATCTGTCTTCTGGGCCTCATGTTCCCAGCTGAATAGCTCCCAGTGAACAGAACAGAAGATTCCTTCATCTGGGATCGATATGGCAGGTCACCGTAGGTCTGATTCCCACCAAGATGGATGGGGTCCACATTCCATCACTGCCGGCCCTCACTGACCACAGCATGAGCCTTAGAGCTTAAGTGCTGCCAGGAGTATGACTTTAGGTACTTCTAGTGGAAAGGTCCTTTAGCAATACTTCCTAAGGGCAGAAGAAGGCAATTCTCTTTCTGTGCAGGGAGAGGAGCGGAAGATGCTAGACAGGTGATGGCCTGAGGTCAGTGCTGCATCACATAAAACTAGGGGCCACAAAGGCAGATTGGCACACAGTGGATTACTTAGTGACCCTGAGGTACATTAGCAATGCAGGGATTACTTCTCTGAGGGTGTGGGGGAGTGGAGTTAACTATAAGAAATCCATGAATCTATGGCCGTGTGTTTTACTGGATGAATCACAATGCTCTGCATTAACTTAATGCTGTTGTATTTTTTGGCTTATAATTCTGCAAAGTAAAGCACTTTTTTCAAAAGAGTCTATTAGAAAGCCACATGATTGCCGCTGTCTTCTAAGCCCTACAAATGTTTCCAAAGATATAATCAAAATGTTCTTCTATTCATTAAAAAGTATATTAAACCTATCCATAGAAACATTTAAGTGTAATTAAAAGATTGTTATGCTTTAAAAATGTACTCCAATAAATGATATGAAATATAATGCTTATGGTGGATCTAAGTGCTACAGGACACGGGGCCACCAAAATCGGTAACCAGAAAAGTAAATTATGTGCCTCATGCTCATTTTATTTTGTTCTGTTTGATGTCATTTTTTTGTTATTTCAAATCTGATCTCCTGGCAAAAGTTCTGGTAATTTGTCTCAGTAAATTTTCTTCTTGTTATGTTACATCTTTGTAATTGTGAGATATTTACACTCCCACTATTTTACTGCTGCAACCAGTCATGTCATCCAAGACACCCAGCGGAAGTTGGTGATATTGGAATAGAAAATGGAAGAAAAAAGCTACTGCTTCCCAAAACTCCACAATTTAAGGCGTCACTAAGTCCACTGTGCAGATTAAACTTGGTTTTCTTAGTAATGAAGTCAAGAGAAAGAGACCTGTTCCTTTGAGTGATTATGTTAACAGTGCTGGGGTTGGGACAGGGGACACACACGTTTGTCATTCTGGCATTTGTTATTTTTTTAAAAAGTGGAATTCATAGTGGAATTCATAGACAATCATAAACCTGGTTTCTAAACTGAAAATTGTTGCCACTTCTTGGATTCCAAGAACACTCTTGCTGGAGTGGTAACAGATGCCTGTAATCCCAGCACCCAGGAGCCAGAGGCAGGAGGATCACTGAGAGTTGGAGGTCACCCTGGGCTACATAGTTAGTTCAAGCAAGCCTGAACTACATAGCGAGACTTTGTCTCAAACAAAACAAAACAAAACTTGTGAAGACCCTTCCTTTCCTGCACAAAAAGGCTGCATTCTCCCACATGACACACTTTTACAAAGGTTTGGAAGACAATCTTCCAGTTTCTCTCTTTGGCTTCTGCTCATTGCTTTTCCTCATTTCATCAAAAAAAAAAAATCTGTTACTAAAATGTATGGATCCAGCTATTGTATCTTCTATCCATTCTTTGTGACCATAATGTAGTTAATATCTAGATCCTCCACCTTTTTTTTTTTTTTTTTTGAGACCAGGTCTCCCTATGTAGCCCAGGCTGGCCTTGAACTCACTATAGTGCTGGGATTACAGGAACGTGCCACCATGCCCAGCTGATTCCCTAGTCTTTGCTACCAGGCTGTTTCCTTCTCTTTTATACCTCACCATCATTCCAAATGACTCATTCTCAAGAAAACCCACCCAACAATCTTGCCATAATTGTTTACATTTTTACCTCTACTCAGTTTTTACTGTATTTCCTTTTTTATGGATTGAATACAGGGCCTTCACCCCGAGCTACATCCTCAGCCCTTTTTATTTTTAACTTTAAGACAGTATCTTACTAAGTCATTAAATTGCCCAGGCTGGGCTTGAACTTAGATCCTCCTGTCAAGGCCTCCCAGATTGCTGGGATTTAGAGACATGTACCACACCTAGCATCTCTACTCAGTTTTCATCATTTGCTTCTAGAATTATACATCAGGCTGTTCATACTCAGAACCTTTTGATGCTAAATTCCCATTTTCCTTTCTCAAGACCTTCTATTCTTGGTACTTTACTCCATTTGTGCAAGACTACCAAGGCCTGGCCCACCCCTCCTGATAGGCAGCACATCAGACTTCATCCTTCCTTCCTCTTTGCAGACCCCGAGGTGCATCACCTCAACTATTCCCTTAAGCCATACCCGCCGGCAAACTTACCATCTAGGGCCGACTCTTAGCACTCATCCTCCCTGCTCTCTGCTGTGTTCAAGCAGAGAAAATCATGAAACCATGGTAGAGGGCCTTTCGATGTTTATGGTTCACCATCTCAGAAGTGGCCTCATTCCCAAAACCCACAATGGCTGTTCTATTCTTAACCCCTTCTGGATGGTACTCCTCCCTAAGGATAACTGGTTCTTGCTTCACACATTTGTATTATTAGGAGTCTTTCTTCACCTCCCACTGCCACTTCCCCTTGTCCATGTAGGTGTGCAATTAACCTTTCTAATCAGAGGAGGTGCTGTCCCTTCCCAAGACTCTTTCCATCAATCTCCACCACCCATCATTCTCTCTCCTATATATTCAGCCTTTTCTTCTTTGGCCTTGTATCTCTCTGCAGATAAAACACACTCAAGTCTCTTCTATCTTAAGCAAAGGTCTCCTCAATTCCACACCTTTACCACCTTGCTGTGTCCAGATTCTTGGAAGAGTCCTTGGTGTGGTTTCTTCATTCCAATTCACTCTTTTGGACCAGCTCCCGCCTGACTTCCTATCACACCCTGTCAACTGTCACACACATATTCATAAACTTCCTGGGGGCTGGGCTAGCCTGGCGCTGATGAAATTCCATTCCATGGCAAAGGAAACTTTCTCTAGCTAAAGTCACCCAGGATCTAATAACTATATCCAGTAGTCACTTCTCAGTCTCTCGACTTCCCTATTACATGTGATACTGTTGAGCATTCCTTTTTTGAAGCTCTAATTTGCCTTTCCTGGCCATCTATTTTCTTAGTCTTGTTCACTTGAAAGTATCTCTCTACCTTTCCATGCTGCTGTTTGCCAGAATTCTGTCCCTCCTTTTCACTCCACATCCTTTCCCTAAAGGAGGGATATCCAGCCTTTTGGCTTGCCTTGGTCACATTGAGTGAAGAATTGTCTTGGGCTACACACAAAATTTATAATTAATGTATACAAAGTAACAAAATTTCCTTTATATATGTTATTTTATGAAATAGCAAGCCCAAGTTTAATAATTCAATAGGAAACTTACAACTTCTCCCACAGGCACACACTGTAGGTAGGCTGAAATACTATCATTAGTGACACCTGCATTTTACTTGTCAAGTCGCACTAGCACATATAACATCTGATATAGGTGGGTTTCAATTTGACTGTGTGGTTGTGTGGGAGGTGGAGTTAGCACTGCACTGTGCCTTCTCCTACACAGCATTTCACTGTTGCCTACAGTCCACGATGGAGCACTGTGCAATCGAGTCACAAGAAGCATTGCTCAGTCACACACTAATTGTAAGCTCTTTTGTAATCTTGTGGGTCATTATAGGTGTTCAGGGCTGCATGCAGCCTTAGGCCGCAGGCTGGACATGCCTGCTGGACTATCTCATTTAGCCCGATGGCTGCCTCCACCATCCACACACTGGTAACCCATCCCTGCCCATTTTCTCTTGCATGGACTTTTAAATGCTCAACTTGTCTTCCTACTTTATGTCTCAGTGACATTCCCCAGCCTCCAAATCTGTCCTACACATTGCTGCCAAGGTCATCTAAGGAAAATGGTTTTCAGGCTCCAGCATTTCTCAAAATCACCTGTAGAGATTATTAAAAAGAGTGCTGGGGTATATCCAGAGTTTCTAAATCAGAAGATTTGGGGTAGGGCTTAAAAATTTCCATTTCTATCAAGTTTTCAGTTGGGTGATGCTCGTGATACTGGTCTGGGGTTTACATTTTAAGACTTTTTATCTGAAAACACTCAATCATAAAATCTTAAAATCTTCCATTAGATGTCATTTTTTTGTTGTTGTTGTTGTTGTCTTTTGTGGTTTTTTTTGAGACAGGGTCTTGCTATGTAGTCCAGGCTGGCCTCGAACTCACAGCAATCCACCTGCCTCAGCCTCCCAAGTGCTCGTATTACAGGCATACACCACCATGCCAAGTCCACTAGGCAGTAGTGCTCACTCCCTTCTCTGTATCACCACTCTATCTCTACACACTCATATTACTGAACACTCTGTGTGACAACTGATTTATATGTCTACCTTCTATTAATGAACTCTGAACATCACTATCTCTGGCACCCAGCAGAGTTCAGTATGTAAATACCCAGTAAGCAGAAATGGAGGAGAGAGAGCAGTGGTGGTGATAGGGAGTAGAGGGAAAAGGGTTTAAGGAATATAAACATAGTATCAGAGAGGATATTAAGAAACATCTTCACCATACTCTTTCCTACGAACCAACCTCCAGGGTGGACATTTGCCCACCCTGGGCCACCTGGACAACTGGTCAACCATCTTTGCTTTTCTCATGTCTCAAGTTCACTTAGCTGATCATTTGCTGTACGTTCCTTTCCATACATCTTTTAATTTTCCAACATAAATTACAAAAAGAGGAGGGAGCACATTCTTTAATGGGTATACATTTCCTTTTATCACTAAGCAAAAATGGTGTCCATCACGATTTGTACTGGGATACAAAGTACAAGTAACAATTTTTTTCTACCTCCATGAGTTGGTACTTAAAAAGAGCAGCCCCGATGGGTAGGAGCACATTGAACTAAAAGGGCTTTTAATCCCCGATGCTGCTGTATCCAGAGGAGCAAGCAGCGGACACTTTGCAATTCTAGTTTCCAAAACTGCAAAACTAGTTTTTATTTATTCCTTACATCCATTTATTCAGCCAGCCTGGCATCTGGTCCTTCTGTTACTCCTTTAGGATCCAGCCAAGACAAGTCAAGCCAGTATAAGATTAGTTTATTTTCTCTAATTGGTTATCTGGGCTACTTTTCTATACTACAGCCAAACTAGGGCATCTTTGATGACATCTCTGAGCCTATGACACCCACTCTGCTCTCAGCTGTCAAGTACTTTCAATAAACTACTTGCTAGTAGAGAAGCCTATCTTTCACAAAAGAATAGTGAAAACAGTAGCTTTGCTGCCTTTCTTCCACCTCAAGAAACACATTGAGGCTGAACCACTTTAAAGAGCAACTACCCTAATATATTGGTTTTCTTGCTATTCGTCCAGTATAGCAACTTGTTTCTACCTCAGGCCACAGCCCTTACTAATGTAACATGGAATTCTTACCAAGCTATTTATGTGGCCCCACCTTGCTTTATCTGGGCTTTGCTCAAAAATTATCTTCGCAAAAGATGCCTTAGTCTAGCAGTGCTGTTTTTACCACTCTGTCTCTGCCCTGACTTCTCTTTACTGTATTTATCACTATTAATAGGAAACATTATATATAAACTTACTTACGTTGAATTTTTTTTTGTACCAGGGATTGAATTCGGGACCTTGCGCTTGTGAAGCAGGTGTTGGAACCACTGAGCTAAATCCCCAGCTATAAACTTACTTATTACATGATCAGCACCACATGTCCCCACATCACAAGCTCTGAAAGGGGAACGTCTTTGCATTTCTTATTCACTGCTATAACCCCAGGGCCCAATACAGTGCCTGGAGGTCAAAATATATTTGTTGAGTGGTTGAATGGACTCAGACTGAGTGTCAAATAATTTAA